ACAGGTTTGACGCACCTTCCAATGGCAATTCGGGAAATCTTCGGCAGGTCGTCTACCCACGCTCGCCAGCGGGTAAAGTGAAGATCTGGGACCTCGTCGTCCCACCCCAAACCCCGTCTGCACAAATCCTGTAGGAGAAGCTTTGCGGGAAGAATGAAAGGAGCTGCCATACCCAGAGGATCATATGACGAACTGACCGCTGAAAGTATGCCACGCCTAGTACACGGCCTATCTTTAATGAACACCTTAAAGCCGAACTGGTCAGCCTCCACGAACCATGACACACCCAAGGCCCTCTCTACTGGGAGAACATCGCAGGTTAGGTCAAGCTCTTTAGTTCCTTTCGCTCTATCTTCGACAGGTATGGACTCTAATACCAGGCGATCGTTGCTGACCCATTTCGTCAAGTTAAAGCCTCCTTTATTCATCAGGTTGCGCAGATCACAAACGTGCTTAATTGCTTCATGACTGGAAGGTAGAGATTTCAAGCAGTCGTCGACATAGAAATTCTTCAGAAAAAGTAGAAACGACTTCAGGCGAAAACTCGTGCTGGTGATCTTCAGCATTTCGACGCATGGCAAAATTGACACAACTAGGCGACGAAACTGCACCGAAAAGATGCACGGTCATTCGGTACTCTTCCAAACCCTTAGCGGGATTACCACCGGGCCACCAGAGAAACCGCAGAAAGTCACGATCCTCCACAGGAACACGTACTTGGTGAAACATAGATTGTACATCTCCCATTACAGCCACTGGGTCTTGTCGGAAATGAAGCAGTATTCCAACCAGGTTGTTGGTCAAATCAGGACCCTGCAGCAATTCGCTATTCAAAGAAATCCCTTGGAACTTAGCGGAACAATCAAAGACGACCCTTATCTTCTCAGGTTTCTTGTTGTGGTACACCCCATGGTGTGGAATATACCAGACCTTTCCGTCAGCTCTATACAAATCTTCAGAGGGAACTTTTTCAGCGAAACCTTCTTGGATTACGCTTTCAAGAGATGCAACGTAGTCGTCCTGAAATCTGGCATCCTTAATGAATTTACGTCTCAGCGAGAGGGCTCTGCGCTCGGCTTGGCATCTATTAGCAGGCGACGTCAGAGTTGGATTACGAAAGGGCAAACGAACTTGGTAATGGCCATCCTCACACTGCATAACAGAGTCTTCCACAATGTTCATGAACTTCATATCTTCACGAGACATTCCTGTGCCGTCATTTAAACACGCATCCGCAAAGTCAGCACACGCCACGCACATAGGATGGACGTCAATAGACTTGGTGAGGTAACAAGCAGAAGGGACATATCTTGGCTTTCTTCCTGTTGGGCCATTGATTACCCAACCGAACGCCACCTTACTAGCGTAGGGGCCTCCTCCGACAGCTGGAATAACTTCTTTCGGTTGTAAAGCTTCTGGGACATCTGACCCAATTAATAGATCAACTTGAGAGTTCAACTCAGTTAGGTAGACGAAGCCTCTAAGGTGTGACCATCTATCTACATCTTCCTGTTTGGGGACTTCATCCTTAGACACAGGCATAGTCGGTCTGGAATAAACCTCTCTCAAAGGGACAACAACATTTTCATCCAAGTCCGACACCACTAAACCGCTGGCCACGACGCTATCAACCTCCTCTGCCGTACCCATCGTAGTTAACCTCAACTTCAAATGCTTGCCTTTAACGCCAAGACGATCCAAAAGCATGTTAGAGCAGAAAGTGGAATTAGAACCCGTATCCAGGAGGGCGTAAGTCTCGATGCAAAAAGGACTTCCTTGTGCTCTGACCTTTACTGGCACGATTGGCAAAGCAGTCGCAGGACCCACTGTGGTCGTCAAATTGCAGACTCGCTCTACGCCACTTGACTCGTCACTTAATAAACTCTTCTGATTAACACCTTGCTGGGATCTGTTCTGATCTTCCTTCTCTCTGGCTCTAGCAGGTTGTTGACTCGCATTCTCAGATGTCGGCTGCTCGTGCTTATCTTCTGAAGAATCAGAGTGCATAGGCGAAGCATGTCTTCCGTTACAGTGTGAACACGGCTTCTTCTTGTAATCTTCTTGTAATCCCCTTGATTGATGACCCCCTCTCAAACACGAGAAACAGAGTCTTTGCTTCATCACAAAGTCGAAACGCTCACGGACGGGAATTTTAGCAAACGCTGGACAGTCTACGAGATTATGGATCTGACGACAAAACAAACAACTCCTTTTCGAGAGATCTTCAGACTTCTTCTCCTGAGACTTGTTTTGATCCATGGGAATCTTCTGAGGTGAAGTGGAGAAGTTACTAAGCTCTCTAGGACCAGGCCCAGAACCCTCGGGTTTTGATTTCGTCCCTCGTGTCTAGCTCTTCCTCTTATCCTTAGCCAAGAAGGGAAGTTTACCGAAGATTGGATTACTTAGGGCACGTGACTTCTCCTCAACGAATGACGCAATGTCTTCGATACAAACTTCTCTCTTGTCCGCATTGAGGATACGATCAGCATGGTCCCGCCAGCTACTCTGCAGTTTAGGTGGCAGTCTCTCGATAATCTTTCTCATGTTGTCCGGACCTTCAATCTTGTTTAAGTATCCGATAGCCTTCAGTGTATTTGTGCAACTTGACAGAAGAATTGAGAAACCCTCCAGTGACTCGGCGTCCTCAGCTTTGATGTAGGGACCATTAGTTAGCTGATCGACATAAGCCATCGCGATATTGTGCTTTTGGCCAAATCTAGCCTCCAACAGCTTCTTCGCCTTAGAGTAGCCTTCTCCTGGGTTTAGGTACATACAACTCCGCACGATCTCCCGCGCTCTTCCACTCGTGTGCTGCTCAAGATAGTACAGTCTCCCACCGCTATCACTCTCGTTACTCTCGATTACAGTCTCAAAGGCACCCATAAAGGTGCAGTAGCTGAGTGGATTCCCGTCAAAGATAGGCACCTGCCTTCGGGGTAGCGTGTTTTTCTGCTGCTGATTCACAAACTCCTCCATGACACGATTCTGCTGTTCGAGGATGTGAAAGGCTTGGTCACTAAGGCCAGACTGCTCACCAGAGTCTGAACTGGACTGACTTGGAACCTTGTGTTTAGTCTTGTGTTCTCTAGGTCTGAAATAGGCATCATGGAAGACCGGAGATGATTCCTGCTTTAAATCTCCAGAAAAACTATCAGAAATGGCTGCCGCGCGCGGATCCACGCGAGGAGCGCGAGAAGTGAGCGAGGAAGACGCCACACGCGTGCTCCTTTCTGAATCAGCTTTCGCATACGCGCTTTCCCTGGCTACTGCTTTCTTAAATTCCGTTTCAAGTTTTAATTGATCCTTTTTAAACTTGAGATCAAGTTCTTCCTTTTTGAGCCGTAATTCAGATTCGTTAATGAGCTGACGCTGCTTTAGGGCGTTCACTTCGGCTTGAAGCTCTGCAATTCTCGCAGCTTCTTTAGCCCTAGCAACAGAAATGGAACTAGCTCGAGAAGATCGGCTGTGCGCCGAACCACAACCGGATCGTTTCCTGTTCCTTAACAGGAACTATGTCTGTGAGACACTGTCATCGGGAGTAACATCAAGGTCATGAATCCGTATCTCCGTTACACGTAACCAGTCGTTAACCGTTTGACAGAAGAAATTCAAACTCGACTCAATGTCAGTGAAGTAAACTACTGATTCCTGTCTTTGGCTCTCATCGATTAGGGCAGCATTATACTCCTCGTGTGCATCTGTAAATCTTTGAAAAAGGGAAGTAATCTCTGTCAGTTTCACCTTGACTGCTTCAAGATTGTTCTCATCCGTTAATAAGCTGTCAATTTCTTTACGCTTGGCCGTCAAGGCAGAGAGCACTCCGCCTCTTCTCTTTCTAAGTTCTCGGATTCTTTCCATTGTAACTGCTTCTTGATCCAGCGAACAATTAGGCTTCCGCGAACGGGTACTTGAACGACGAACACTTTGACCATTTTTCCCGGCGGAACACGACAAATTGGCTTCCTGAACCACATGAGACATCGTCCAAAGTCCAACAACTCTCGTCTTTACAAATATAGTCGCAGCCTTTACGCGCTATAGGTTTTAACACACAAACTTTATTCTAGAACTTCTAAAACTGGTGAAGGGAAACAAGTGAACCGATGTGAAGTATAACGAAGTATAGCGAAGTACAGCGGTACTGAAAAATAACAATTAAACCAATACAAAGTCAAGATAAAACAACCTACAAACTGAACGAAAGCAATAAGGCAATCTAGAAATACGAATGAAACAAACGAGATACTTACAAGACGATAGCGAGATAAGGACCAAAAACTAGGACGAACGAAAACCCAAACATTAAACGGTAAACCGGACCAAGCGCAGCTAAACGAAGAACTGACGCGAAAAATTACAATAAAGGCTAAATATACGATATGCAGAAAAATCCTAACACGAAGGACAAAGCTACGCGGACAATGAAAAACTAATGAACCAAGCAACAGCACTAAGGGCGCGAACACGAAAATAACTAAGAACGCGGCGAACATAAAAATACTATAAAGGTAACGGAAAACATTCCTGGCGCTTACACTGATATTAGTGTGCTAACACACAGCATAGAAATAACAAAGTCAACGTGAGGAGGCATACCTTTGTCGCACTTTTCTCCTTTGAACCCATCAACGCAAACACATCGGTAGTGCTTAGCTGTGAAGCCTACCTGGCAGATGAAGTTCTCTCCAGGGCATGGGCTACTGTGACAAAAGTTCTGCTGGAAAACATGATAAACATTTAAATTACTTTAATACATCTTCTTCTTCTTGTTTTTCTTTCATCATAAAATTATTTAAAAGGGAAAGATAGATAGTTCCTTTAATTCGTTGTTTTGCGTTTACATACTAAGGCCTCTTTCCCGAATGTCAATATTGTACTGGATTACCTTTCAATGAAATAAAGTCCTTGCTAACCTGAACGTTTGTTGCTTACATTACTCATCACCCGTCTCAGTTTTATAGTAATAAATAAGCGAATGAAATTGGCGTTTTGCAAACAACACTCTGTGATGCACTTTCATCTGTAAAGTTGTTTAGCTCACAGGGGCGCTGTCCTTGATCGTCGACAGGACCCACATTTATAGACACACAGTTGGGCTCCAAGAAACACTTCACACGGCAGCTCCCCTCATTTGGCACCTTCTCCGTCCTTATCACGTGACCCAGAAGTATTTCCCCCTCTATTGGCCCCTTGAATATTAAAACGCGATTGTATTCTGTAGCGAGAACTGTAGAGAAAAAGAAATAGAAGTAGGCAAACGCTTTTTAAAGTAGTTTGATGGTGAAACATTATGCTTTTTTGTAATTCTCATTGATATTTATTAAATGGAACGATTTAGAATTTAAAGCTTAAAACGAGTTATCGATCCGCTAAACAATTATTTTGCAAATTTACTACCAGTTTCCAACTTAACTAGGCTATTCAAAACTTATACGTAAGTCATTTTTATGCATATGTTTTTCAGCGCACTTGAATCGGGACTCTAGGTTTTTGCATTTCGACTCCTTCATTGTTTTTGTCGCGGTTGTTTTAATGACCAGCTTCGCCAGAGGTAAGCACCCAAACAAAACCCACAGCTTAGTTGTCCCAAATAACTTTCCAATGTGTGTTTTACGAAAGGAGCAGCTTTCCCGAACATATTCCTTACTTGGGTGGTTTTTTTTTTTTTTACTGTTTTTTTTTTTTATAGCACAACAATAAAACTATAACCTCGGTCTGGCATTAACAATCGGTACGAATTGGAAAAAAAAAAGAGTATAAGAAGTAGCTAACAGAGCTATAAGGAATATTCCTTATCAGCTAAACGTACTAGACAAATCAATTATGGGTAGTCAACATTTTGTTTGAAGAAAGCAGCTTTAAATTTTTAATTGTCAAAACTAAATTCTTGCTGACATCAGACTGTATCTCATGCTCTTAGTCAGTACTAAATTTATAATGTACACGTCCAGGTATTTCTCTTCTTTTAAATCCATTTCCTTTGTCTAGTTCGTCAGTGTTTTCCTCCAAGCCTTTTACAGGTACGCACGTTCCTACTACATGGCCTACAATTCAAATATAGCTGTAGCTACGCCTCAGGGAACAAGTTTTTGTCAGTCTAAGTTGCAGCAGATGCATCTAAAATGTCTTAAGCAGCATGTGTTTCACACTGTTTAAGAAGTTGTTTGCCTTTTCATTTGTCTCTCGCCTCCTACATACACGAAAGATTAAAACTGTCTGTCTAGGTTTTAGTATTTTATTACCCGCCATGTAAACAGAAAAGGCTCCAAAGTGACTTGGCTTCATGCATATTAAGCGGACGCACTATTTTGAGGAGAAAGCAAGTGAAATGCCGAACTTAAGTTCTCATCTTTTCTCACTTCAAAAAAAAAAAAAAAAAAATAGAAGAAGAAAGAGTCATCTCTAACCAGTTCTAAGTTATTACACGTTCATTAACTTCTTAAATTGATGGTTCTTATTTTAAATAACTTTTATTTCGAATTTTGAATTTAAAAAAAATAAATGTAACTATGTAAGCTTTTTTTTTGTTTTGTTCCGATGCCATGCCTTGAATCCCATAGCTAAAAGTACGTTGTGCAAAATGCAGTCACTTTTTCCTTCTTTGAACAAAAAATGATTTGTTCCTGTTACGCTTTCAATTCTACAAATGAAGCACTAAACGTGTGGGACTTACCAAAGTGCACCAATGTGCCAAGTCCAAGTATCACGGTGAAAATTTCCTTCCTCATAGTAGAGGACATGGTATCAACTTAGTTTAGCTTTCAAGTTGTAGTCTGTTGTCATCAAACTAGTCGTGTAAAGAAATAGGCTCATTAAAATTTCTCAATATGCGACAATACCCTACTTGAATTAATCAATAAATCATAAGAAGTTTGGAATGATTACGAAATTGGTCCTTAACTCGACGCGAAAAAAAGAGACAATTTATTATTTTTTATTTATTATAAGCTGTTTTTATCATTTCCCGCTTCCATATTTACACCAGATTTTGAGGGAAAATAGCGAATAGCCATCGAATGATTTCTTGTGCTTTTCCATAGTCAGTCTTAAATTTAAATTTAATATAATTTTTATATATTCTTTCCTGAGGCACCTGTTTCACACTTATTACTGAGTCAAATAACACACGGCTAAAAAGTCAATATTTACCGTTGCTAAGGGTTTTATTCCTAGCCTTATTTTTATTTATTCCTGGATTTTTGAAAACCGGGTTAGCAAAAATATCAACTCATTCTACTACTTGGCAATTTAAAACAAGAAACCTCATTCAAAGGCCGATTAAAAGCCTTTATTTGACGCCGGGCAGTAAGTTAATGGTCCCTAGAAGTATCATCCAACGACTCCAAATTTAAAATGACGCAAATGTTAGAACATTTATTCAATAAACTGACTTTGCCAAGTTTCAAACCGGTGTCAATCAGTATAGAAATTTTTAAGTTGCGTGAGCTGCAGCGAAAGAGTGCCTGGTTAAGACTTGCATAACAACTTAAATAGTTAGCAAAACACTACTTTTTTCGCGGTTCGATAAACAACAGGATTCCGCATGGAATAGACAACAAACTGAATGAAATGTAGTACACAAATTATCACTTTCTTGTGAAAGGTTTGAACCCAGGAGTCATTTCAAAAGTAGGTTGAGTTTGATCGTCCTGGTGAACGTAGTCCTGAATAGGACTGTTGTTGTTGACAGTGACTGACGTTTCGACAACCTGTGCGGTAGTTATCTTCAGAGTCAAAGTGAGTTGTACCACGTCAGTTGATGGTATGATTGGTCAATTACGTCGCGATGTTATTGGTCGCCTGTCAGTCAAGCCGTGATGTTATTGGCTATGAAGACTCGTAATCAGTAATTGGTGCGTTTCGATCCGTCTATTATCACAGTAAAACAGTCGTCTATTGTTAGTCAAATTGTCAGTTCTCACAGTCGTTCTGCTTGATCTCGTCAATAAGTCGTTTGTACGGCGCTGGTAGCTGTTGGCTACGATTCAGTGGCGTTTTTTCTAAGTTAGTAAACCAGCTTTCCAAAGTAAGACGTTGATAGTAGTCTGTAGAATACGTTATACATGTCGCAGAGTCCCAGTCAATTTGATGTTTCGTCTGTAAAGGGTGCTCAGCAATGTGATTGTTGACGTCACCATTCCTCGTCGCGCGTTTGGGTTCGGTCAGTCGCGTGCTTAGGTTTCTGCCGGTTTTACCAATGTGAGAAGCCTGGCAGTCGCAGCATTTGATCTTGTATACTGCTCCCTGTCTGTCCTCCGGTTTGTCTTTGTCCTTGACATTAGTACGCAGTCGCCGTAAAGTGGTTATCGGTTTGTGTGCAACACGTATATTGTAAGGTTGTAATATACGTGCAATAGTTTCAGCGGTGCCTCTGATGTACGGTATAGTCCCTGTTGTAACAGGGCCAGAGTTTGTCTGAGTATAGGAATCACTGTTACTATCCGACTACTACTACTATCCGGACTGTGACGAAACGAGAGCAACTAGTTTGCGACTCACCTGACAGCCTACAAGACGAGACTGATTATCTTAACAACGTTTTTAGTAAGAACAATTACAACACGGACTTTGTTAGACGGTACACTCACAAAAATCTTCTAGGGCTATCTGGAGAGAGCAGACTGTGAGCAAATTTAACAAAACAAAGCCATGTTGTTCAATAAATTGCTTTCGGTCATACTACCGTTTCCAAGGTTCTCATGTCAAAGACAAACTTTCTTTTTTTCGAACTAGCAGCGTTAACCTTTACGGCCACGAAGAGCTTTACCTTTTAATAATTCAGTTTTAACGTGCTGCCTCTTTCAAAGAATAAATAAATATACCCAGTTTAAGGGCCACCGGTGGGTTATTTGTTTCAAACGAGAGCTTTTGTTTTGCATCTGCTGGTTTTTAATTTTGAAACGTAATACCATTATTACAATTGGTACCTGTGTTGATTTGTTTTGTTTTGTTTTTTTAATACCGTGCTTTAGATGATAATAAACTAAAGGCATTAATAGATTTTTTTTTTTTTTCGGGGGGGAGGGGAGTATTCGGAGATAAGCAAACTCAGCCGGACCGATAAAGCAAAAAAGACCGGAAAATGAAGGAGGCCTCCTTTCTAGCTTTCTATCACGTATCACGAAGAACGAGCTGTAAATTGTCTTAAAAAGGATTTTTTTTCATTGGCGGAAGGGAATTGAATGCGCAGGGCGAATTGAAAATATAATCTACTGCGCTTATATGTAACAATTTACTTCCTGCCCTCTCGCACTGGAAAAATGAACATGAAATCCGTGTCTTATCTACGTCGATCGCAGTAATCCGGTTTTGTTAGCAATTGAATGCAATATGCAATAGCAGTGAAGAAGAGAATTGAAGGTAAAGTTGAGAAGTTTCTACGATAACTGCGAGCCTTGACAAAGAAAGTTTGCCTTGGTAATGGCACGTTTTGGTGGCTAGTTTTGCCGAGAAATTAAAGAAATACTTATTTCACGGTTAAGTTAAAAACACATAATTTTAGTGTATTAACAGATTTTCAACCCAAAATAGTTTTATCGAACCTTTTCAACCCTGGGATTTATTCTTACCATGTTCTTAAGATTTCGCAATTTTCAGCCTCGATATTCGTATAAAATATATTTCTACAGAAAAGAAAAGAGTGTACCGTGATGAGACATTTAAGTTTAGTAAAGGAAAGGGCGAATAAATGGCATGACACGTTCTCTTGGTCCGTATACCATTGTCAAAACGTCCGTGGAAAAATCTGGCCGAAAGAAAAATAGAACATGGTTTTTCTTGTCGTTCTCGTGGAGAATTTTCGAAGCAACGGAACATCTGAAAAGGAAGTCCTGTATTTCCGAACGGAATATTTCGAACGGAAGTTCGTTTACCATTTGCTAAAACCCATATTTGATGCTAGTGCCAGGCTTCCCCAGGCGTTTTAGGGTAAAAGGAACTGATTTATGCAAGTGTTATTAACGATTCTGGAATGAAGTTTAACAGTCCTGAATTTTTCTTACCATTTGCCCAAACTGTGAACCGACTGGTTTGACCATGCAAAAGGGTAAAAAAAAAGAGGAAAAAATATGTTTCTCGTTTCTCTTGTTAATGAGATAACGCTAACTGGCCAAGCTCAGCCCAGCTCTTAAGGAGTGCCTTTTAGGGATCCGCTGCCTCAAGGTGATTTTACACCGGACGATTCGTAACGGCGATTTTCAGCGAAACACAGCGCTGCAATGTTGGAACAACATTTTGACCGTTCGAAACAATGTCGCAACAATGTTGCAACGCTTTGTTGCGCTAAAGGTCGTTGTTGTGAATCATCCCTTGTAACATCACCGTTAAATGAGTTTTGCCAGTTTTAATATGTCGAGTTGAGGCTGGCGTTAGCGACCATTTGGTCACGGTTAACAGCGGCTTACTAAGCATTGTTTGAGCTAAAGGTTAGTTCTGTCATGTGCTTTCATATTTCTTGGAGAAAACTGTTAAAATAGTAAATGACCTGATCAACGCCAGGGGCGTCTATTTGATTTTACGGGTCCAAGGAGGGGGGGGGGGCGTTTAATAGAAAGAAGGCGTTTAAAAGAGAGGTAACAAGCTCAACAAAACCGAATATGCTTCCGCGAAAATATCAAGAAAGGTTTAAAATATATAGCGGAATATCTACTCCATCAATTGTTACTTCTAGGCCGCCTAGAGATCCATAAGCATATTGCTCTTTCAAATCCGTTCAACACCGATGTCAGAATCCAGGCTCGCTCTTTGTTATTATTGTGTTGCCATCGTTAGTCTACCTTTTGACTCTTGACATTGAATAGATGAAATATGCAAAGCCTTGTTAAACAAGCAAGAAATTGAATGATAGAATGATTTTTCTCCTTTTTGGAAATTCCTAGTATTTTGGAGTACAGTAATTGCCATAGGAAGGCGTCTATTAGACAGGGGGAGTTTATTAGACAGGGGCGTTGTACAAAATTGTAACAGATTTGAGGAGGCGTCTGTTAGATAAGAGGTGTTTATTTGGAAGTTGGGGTTTAGTAGGTCATTTACGGTAGCTCTGGATTTTTCCCCAACAGCACGCTCTCACATTGGCTCCTTGGAGACCATTGAAATCTAACAAACATTAGTATACACACACTCAGTGATCTTGGTGATTTAAGCAATCTGATTGGTTCGCTATCTCGTGCTATTATACACTTAATGTCAGATCCCAAGGGAAACAGTTAGTTTTGTTTTCCCGAGAGTCCTGATGTTTCCCGAGACGAAGTCGAGGGAAACATCAGGACTCCAGGGAAAACAAAACTAACTGGTTTCCCGAGGGATCTGACATTAAGTGTTTTGTTATATTTCTAGAACTTTCACTTCAACAGCAACAAAACAATAACCAGAGCGAACCAAAACGAACCAAAACAGTTGACTCGGTACTTATAACAACACAAATTTAATTCTCAAAACCACTGAATGAATGATTTACAAACAAAAGTACTTTCCTTATATCATCTGCATCTTTTTCCTCCACTAGCTGCTGTTTTTCTTCGACTGGGAACTTCTGGGATAACTTTAAAAATGGTTGCTTTTTAGCTTGAGGCTTCGTGATTGTGTTGTTGTGTTTATTCACGAAAAAGAAAACCGGCAGGACCTGGCGGTGTTTTTCCCGCCTTCTGTCACGCCACTTTCCACCATGCTTTGATCACGTGCTGCAATGTATCCCGAGCGGGATACATTGTTTAATGTATCACGATCGGGATACATTTGATTT